GGCGCGGCGCGACCGACCGAAAAAAAAACAAAATACAACCGCCTTATTGAAACCTCCGCCCTGACACCACTGCAGACCTGAGTTACGAACGCCTTTTCGAACTCAGGCCTGACACAAACGCCGATGCCTGTTTTTTCTGCCCATTACGAACTCCCATGTGACATAAACGTACTTCCCCCTTTCTTTAACGGATGGGGTTACTAGGGAAGGTGGCCGTTGGAAGTTTGGAAGTGGCAAAATCAGGCGGCCACTAGGCACACCCCTGGGGAAATGAGCCAAATTTAAAACGGGAGGGTGTGCTACAGCCTACCGGTAACTGCTCCCAGGCCAGGCCACGGGAAAAAGAGAGGTACCACTACCGCCACCTCCTGTTTTTGCCAATTATTGAACTTGTAGGCCATCAAACTCATGATTTACTGTTTTTCTTGCAGTTTCTAACCGGTCTTCGCCCAAGCTAGCAGTGGACTGTTATTTCTGCGAATTCTGAACTGTGCAGCCGTCAGAGGTGCAGTTGTCTCAAGAAAAAACTGAAACGGACTAACACACACCCTGAACAGGTCCGAAGAGTGTGAAACAGTCCCGTGACAGACTCTTACTGCCTTCAAGATGGCTCATAACAGATGTCAACAGTGTGAAAGAGACATACAGACTGAAAGAAAGGGACCTTGTGACATAGAACAGAACAAAACAAGCGAAAAAAACACAGGGTCCCGGATAGACTGTATGGGACGTACTGTCTGAAGCGTACAGGAAACGGACTCTACAGACAGACTGTAAGCAGACTTAATCTCTCTCTAAACACCTCGAAAACAGAAGTTGTGAGACTGTGACAGACTTCAATGGTCCCAAACTTAAGACTGTTGGGCCACAGAACGGATAGTCAAACAGAGTCACAGAGACTCAAACACTCCCAAAGGGAATCAAACAGTCCCATTTAGGGCTTAAACACACCAAGTCTTGTGAGAAGTGGGGGCACTGTCAGGTAGTCAAGCACACACACAGTCAGGCCAACACAGAGACTCACATAACGACCATTTCGCCAAAATGGACATTTTATATTTTTAAAACGAAATTGAAACCGAGTTTTTTGGTCGAA